AAGAGCGCCAGGCAGAGTGAACTGGGGTCACGGCCGAAAAGAAGCCATTGAGCCCCACAGCCACGTGGGGTGGGCAGGGGGCGGGGTTCGTTGAGGCAAGAGGAGGTGAGGTGCTCTTTCCCCATCCTTCCCCCATCAACCGTACTCCCCTTACCTACCTCAGCTGCTTCGCCCTTGCCTCTTCTCCAACCCAACTCCCCCAACCCGCGTGACCAGGCCCCAGTCCGTGATAGCTCTTCTGTCACCCTTTCTGTGTCCTCCAGGCTTTCTCTAACTTTTCTGCTGTCTCTCTCCTGCCTTTTTTTTCTCGACCATCTTTGTCCACTTTTTCCTTGGTACCTTCTCCACCCTAGAATTTCTCTCATGTCTAAAATCCCTTTTTGGTTTACCAGATCCCTCCAGTTTCATGATTCCTTCCCTATCCTTCATCTTTTAGCTATTTCCTCACTTCCCTGTTCCCTGGAACTCTTCCTGTAGTGCCTGACAAATTTTCCACTCAGCGTGACTCCCCTGATTTTACTTCTTGTCTATGACTTCTTGTCTGACCAAGCCTTTAACAATCCCTCTCCTCACACTCACTTTTCCTCATCTTGTCACTCTAAATAGTACTCCCACTTCACTCCAAACCACCTCTTCTTCTCACTACTCACTTTTAAGTCCCTGACTTACCTGCGTGCTGATGACCAACTACCCTAACTTTATCTTCCAGGACACAATGGACCCCCGGGGGCCAGCCCCCCAGCCTTTCCAGAGGTCTGAGAAACCTGGTCGGGTCCGCCGTCGGAAGACCAGGCGGGAGCGTAATGAGGCCCTGGTGGGCAGCCGCCGGCCATTGGCCCATCAGGACCCTCCTGTGGCCAGTCGGAACACACCTTTAGCCGTCCGGGATCCTCTGGCCCCTAATGCCCCCAAATTCATGGTCATAGCCCAGGGCCGGCTGAGCCGGAAGCACCGGGGTCTCTTCAACCACGAGGTTAAGTCTTTGGATGTGGGACGGCTGCTTAGCAGTGGATCCCTGGATCCAGGCACCCCCATACTCTCCACCAAGCGTTCTCCAAGCCCAGAGAGGGCCCAAGAACCAACTCCACCGCCGAGGGGCAAGGAGAACCAGGTGCCTGGAGGCTCGGGCCCAGGCCCATCTAGTACCCCCAAGCTCCCTGACTTGGGGCAGCTGCTGGGGGAGCTGCAGTGCCAACTGATTCTGCCACAGGCCTTCCCCAGGAGGAACCTAGTGCAAGAGGCCAGGGATGCCATCGTGGGTAACTTACAGGCCTGCCATGGCTGTGTGCCGGACCTTACTCTGGTGCTCCAGCCACCCTTGTCAGGTGAGCCCACCTCCTGCCCCCTGTGCTCCCTTTTCCCTTGTCTGTTTTAGCTCAACTGTCCCCCATGCTTCTTTTCTCTGTGCCAGCAACCAAGCCTGGGGGCCCTGAGAAACGAAGGATGACACCCTCCTGGATCAACATCCCTGAGCAGGCCCCAGGAGAGGAGAGGCAGAGGAGGCGACAGGAGACAGAGGAATTCACCTTTGCCATGCCTCATACCTCCAGCACTCCCACTACACACAGGGAAGGCCTGGCACCACCAAAAGGCCCCTGGCCGCCCTTATTACCCTCGTTACCTTCACCATCTGGAGCGGCCTGGGGCCCCCCAACAGCCTTTGACCTGTTGAAAAGCATCTGGCTGGTAGCCACACCACCCCCTCCCCGGCCCTGGGGGGTTGGCACACAACAGCCCCTGCCTCAGCCGCCATCACCCTTGTTTCCCCGAACCTCTGCCCTGGACTGGAGCCCCAAACCCCCCACCCCTCAGCCCAGCCTCTCCTGGGTGGTAGCCCAGAGCAGCCCAGAGGCCTGGTCCTTTCCACCCATGAGACTGTACTGAGGGGCTAATGCTAGGCTGGGGGCAGGAATCCCGCACTCCCAATCACCTCAATAAAGTACCTTCTTCATGGTCATCTCGATTTTCAGTGAGCGTCTGATTCAGGAGAGCAGCTCTGAGTTCTGTGTCCCAAACGGAGGGGAAGCCACTGTCATTTGTCACCTTCCTAGGGCGTAAGAGGCCAGCAGGCTGGAAAAACCTGGGGCTCCACCCAACCCAACACATCCACCCACTGAGGCCAACTTTGTGCCAGAGTCTGAGCTCTGGTGGTGCTAGAGTCCCCGAGTGAGTGAGGTGAGCTCTGTCCCCAGGATATTCCCAGTCCCAGTCCAGTGGTAGGTACAGACAGTCCCAGCTCCAGTGGTTGCATCTGGGAGAGAGAGGTGCAAGGGCTAGGAGCGAGTGATGACTTTGCCTGAGGGAGGAGAGAGGTCTTAATAAAGGAGCTGACACGGACCCTTGTATATTCTCAAGACTGGTAGAAATTTGCTAGTAGAGGAGGAAAAGAACATTTAAGGTGAAAAGCATGTGCAAGCCCTGGAGAAGGGCGAATAGGGGATGTGGGGCCATTTTCATTCTGCCGTCTCTGTAGACCATGCTGAGACTTAAGAGTCACATCTTGGCCCTGCCCTTGAAGGGCTCCCGGTCTGCTGAACACAGGAACAATGTGCGTGCAGTATCGGGGCAGGAATGGCAGATGAGGCCTGAATCTGGCCCACAGACTTTTATCTTTGGACTATGATATATTTTAAATTTTTGAATCAATTCTCTACTGTTGCAAATCAGACAGTTCGTTTAAAAAAAAAAAAAGGAATCGCGTTTCTGGCTTCTGAAAACAAAAAGAAGGAAAATGATCTGGCACCCCACCTATTATTCCTCTTGGCAACAACTGGCTCAAGCTGAGTAGCAGAGGCCCCCTTTTTGTGGGACTCACACTCTCCCTTGAGTTTCACACACTTAAGTTTCCTACTTGGCTTAGAAAGTTTTTAAAAATAGTATTTTGAGGAGCAGCAAATTCTGCAGTGGAGAAGGAGGGATGAAGTGAGAAATGTGTTGGAATCTGGTCAGGATAATCAAACTGAGGGGCTTGGATGCTACGGTGTGAAGCTTTTCCAGGGTTTTCCCACTGCCACTGGGAAACTAAGGTTGGTACCAGCTTGGAGGGGACTGAACTGAGACATCACAGGGCTGTGACTTGGCTTAGATCTTATAAGAAAGAAAGGGGCAACACTGCAGTCTGAACCCAGGCTCACTTCAGAGTCTGCGAATGGGCTTCTTACAACCTCTGTCTCACAGCAACCCAGTTGCACAATCTGGTAAGCAGTGACATGACAGGGGCAGGCAGGTATAGTGGTTGAGGGCTCTGCTACCTCTGTGTTGTGTGACCCAGAACGAGAGATTTGCCTTCTCTGTGGGCACTTAACAGTGCAAGGGGTCTGGAATGCTGGCACCTCGAGTGGACCCAGGAGGGGATGGCTGACATGGGGGCGGAGATGAGCAATCAAAGAACAGTTTGTGGACTAAATTGGGGGAGGTCAAGACAGAGTGGGGGTCTGGAGATGGCAGTCTGGAGGAGGCACGGCTTGGGGGAAGGTGAGTTCAGTTTAGGACACGGGGAGCCTGAGGTATCACGGAGACTCCTAGAAGGGAGGACCGGAGCAGGGGCTGGGTGGAGAAGATGAGAAACGGCGGCCCTTCCCGTGGGGAGTGGAAACGGGCCCGAATGGACCGTCCTGGAGGAGGGGGCGGGGAGTGCGGCGCCCAGCGGCCCCTTTAATCGGGGGCGCGCGCCGGCCGGTTCAAAGTTTTGTTGGCTATGCTTTTATTTCTGTCTGCAGAGAAAGGTCTGATTTGTGTTCTCAAGTCATCACTTTTCTTAGTTACCTAGTCACCATCTTGGTTCATTAATACAAA